TTGAAAATCCAATCATTGTTTTGGAAATTAAATAAAAATCTGTACATGGGCTTTGAGGAATTAAAGAATTAGAAGCTCTTGCCCTGGAAGAGCTTATATTCAACTTGGTAAAATAAAAAGAAATATTAAAAATTTAAATATCAGAAAAAATAATTTAACAGCACGAGCTACCACAAGACAGATAAAGAATTGCCCAAAGAATGTATCATGTATCTGATAATCTAGCCTTTTAAAAAATTATACCTCCAGTAATAAAAACATCTGCCTTTGTAGCATTATTTAGTGGACAAACTATAAAGAGTAAAATACAAGGTAGAACAAAGCATACAAATGAAACAAGTTACCTCTTGAAGTTACTCAATACAATTCTGTCCCCAAGAGCACAAAGTGTGCCTCTACCTCACTTTTCTATGGTGCACATCAGTTGTGATCCCTAACATTGAGGTCACTGCCTTATCACAAGATATGTTGGCCAGCCTGAATTTTTATTTGGACACAGAATTTCCTAATCAATAAACATTTTTGAATCAAAAAAATACATTTAAAAATGGGGGAAAAAATAACTTAGATTTTGTATAAAACAACTCCAACTCTAGGAAGAGAAAGAAACTATTTCAAAAACAAAACTCCAATATTGTATAGATGGACTGGAGACTGTATGAAGGTAGGGTAGGGAACTAGAGTCAAGAATATCTGATAGGAAACTAGTAATTCAGGCATCAGGTGCATATCTCTTGTATCAGATGCTGAAAGGAGAGTCTAGAACAAAGCAGTGGTGATAAAGTAAGAACAGATGTAAGAGCCAAAGTCAGATAGATCTTGTTGATCTATTTGATTAAATGAGGGAAGGAGGCAGATGGACTTGAAGAAATCAAGGGTAAATCTCAGGCTTTTAGTTTAGATAACTGCAAGAATTCTTTACTTCATATTATTAAGAATAAAACATTTAATTTAGCTGTTGTCGACTTCCTTGAAGTCTTTTTTCTTAAATAGTTAGGACTCCTGCTTTCAAAAGATGAAGTAAATGTACTTTTCCCTATTTCTCTTGCCAAGTTCAAGTAAAAACTCTGGAGGTTATATACACATATATAAAACAAATAGAGACTGAAAAGTTGAGAGAAGACAACAGACTAGCTAGGAACTTGAGACGAAGGAAAAATACAGTGGCGAGTTCCCTGAATATTTTTTCCTATTCTGTCCCAGACTGAATACTAGAGAAGCTGGCAATTCAGAAACACCAATGGGCACAGACAAGAGGGGGAAAACAAAAGAAAAAAAAAAGCCCCGCCAAAAACCTACTCTCTCTAACCAAAGGACAAGGGGCATTCTAGTAAGAAAGAAAACTTTTTAAACAACCACTACATTCCAGTCAAACACCAGATAAAAATTGCAGTCCCTGCTCCCCACTCTCATCAGCAATGGTCATGTAGACGGCCTAGACTCCCACGCTTGTAGGAAGTAATAATGCATCTCAAGCCCCCCAACAAAGGAGGTGTCAGAGAAGGCCAAGTGGGAACCTGGAAATTTCATCCTAAGCCCAGAATTTCATCCACACCCAGCAGTAACAAGGAACTCCATTTTCTCCTGTGGACAAGGTATCAGAGACCCACTGGAGGCAGGACTTTCAACACTCAGCAGTAATGAAGGCATGGCCTCACAGTGTCAGTGAAGACCGTAAAATATTGTATTCCACCTTCACGCTCGGAGGCAGGACTTTCAACACTCAGCAGTAATGAAGGTGGAATACAATATTATACGGTCTTCACAGTGTCAGTATTCCACCTTCACGCTTTGGTAATAGGGATGCCTTCCTTTCCCCATTGGATGTATAAGAGACTCATGGAGTCAGGACTTTCACCACTGCTTGGGGGTATCATGACCACCTTCCCACATTATCAGTGGAATGTAGGTGGGTAGCAGTAACAAGGTACCCTTCCCCCTCCCAACCAGGATAGTATCACAAAGGCCTAGAGGGAAGTCTGAACTTCTACCTCTGCCCAGCAGTAACAAGGAGAGAGAACTCCCTCCTTGCCCATCACTGGTTGTCAACAGAAGCCAAGTAGAGAATCTGGACTTTACTCCCATCAACAATAACAAGGCAGCGCCGTGTTTTACCCATGAGAACGGTATCAAAGACCTGTGATAGCACAAGATTTAAATAAGACCCTGTCTTGTAACACAATACCCAAAATGTCCAGGTTTCAATCAAAAATCGCTCATAATGAAGATTCAAGATCTTGAACTGGATGATAAAAACAAATGCCAACACTAAGGTGGCATGATATTAAAATTATCTGACAAGAATTTCTAAATGGCCGTCATAAAATGCTTAATTACAAACACTTGAAAAAATGAGAAAAAGTCTCAGCGAAGATATAGAAGATATAAAGAAGAAACGAAATGAACTTTGAGAAAAGAATGCAATAACTGGCAAAAAAAAAAAATGGGTCAAAAGCATAACAAGGAGACAGAAGAAATAATTAGTGAATTAGCAGAACACAGAAATCACACAATCTGAACAGAAAAAATAGACCAAAAACAAACAAAAAAACAGGCCCCTGGAATTTGTGGAACTATAAAAAAATCTTAGTTATGTCATCAGAGACCTAGAAAGAAAGGAGAAAGATGGGCTAAAACGTTTTCAAGTGCTAAAAGAACTGTTAACCTAAAATTTTATATCCAGTGAAAATATGGTTCAGGAATGAAGGAGTAATCAAGACATTCTCAGATGGAAAAAACTAAGAAAATTTATCACCAGAGACCTACACTAAAAGAATAACAAAAGGAAGTTCTCTAAACAGGAAATATAAAAAGTAAAAACTATAAATCAAAGATGTAAATAAATGGAAAGATATTCCTTATCTATGGAATAGAAAATGCAACAGTCAAGATGCCAATTCTCCCCAAATTGATATATAGATTTAACGCAATTCCTATCAAAATTCCAGCAAAATTTTTATTGTAGATACAAACCACATTATTCAAAAATTTATATGGAAAGGCAAAGGAAGTAGAAAAGTTATAACAATTCTGAGAGAGAATCAAGTGAGAGGAATCACTCTACCAATTTCAAGACTGATTATATAGCCACGGTAATAAAGACTATGCATTATTGGTGGAGGGACCGAAACCAACCAGTGAATATAGAACTGAGCAATAGTCCGTAACACATATGACCAACAAATTTGTGCCAAAAGTGCAAAAGAAATTCAATGGAGGAAAGAAATTCTTTTCAAAAAATGGCGCATAAACTGAATATCCAAAGACAAAAAAAAGTATCTTGACCTAAATCTTGCACCTTACACAAAAATTAATTCAAGATAGATCAGAAATTTAAATGTAAAACAAACTATAAAATCTATAAAAAATATAAGAAAAAATCTTCAGGACCTAGGATTTGGTAGAGTTCTTAAATATGACACCAATACATGAAAAAACAATCCAATAAATTAGATTTCATCAAAATTAAACACTGTTGATCTTCAAAAGACCCTACTAAAAGAGAAGCTACAGAATAGAATATTTACAAATCACATTATCTGACAAAGGACCTATACCTACAATAAGAACTCTGAAAATTCAACATTAGAAAAACAAACAATCCAAACATAAAATGCACTAATGAAGAAACATTTCAACAAAGAGAAAAATGGAGGACAAATAATCACATGAAAATATGTGCAATACCATCAGCCATTAAGGAAATGCAAATTGAAAACCCTGAGACACACTTCTATCATAACAGCTAAAATAAAAAATACCAAATATTCATGAGAATATGAAAAAAATGGATTTTTCATAAACTGCTGATAGAAACATAAAATAGTACAGCCACTTTGGAAAATGGTCTGGCTGTTTTTTAAAAAACTAAACATGTAACTTACCACCTGACCCAACAATCAAAGTCCTGGGTATTTATCCCAGAGAAATGAAGACATATCTGTATAAAAACAGATAAACAATTGTTCATAGCAGCTTTATTTGTAATAGCTGAAAACTAATCAAAACATTCCTCAATGGATGAATAGTCGTACAAACTGTGGTGTATAAATACCATGGAATATGATTCAGAAATAAAAAGGAACAAACAAGAATTTGGATGGACTCAAGGAAATTATGCTGAGTGAAAAAAGCAAATCCTCCAAAGTCATAACCTTCATGATTCCATCAAAATGATGAAATAGTAGATGAACAGATTAATGGTAATATGTAAAAAGACAGCATAATGGAGAACCTTGTGGTAATAAAATACTTCTGTATCTTGATTGTAGTGGTGGTTACTCAAATCTACATGTGATAAAATGGTACAGAATTACTCATATATTGTACCCATGTCAAACTCCTGGTTTCGATATTATAATTAAGATATAACCATTGGAGGCAAATGATGTAGAGTACACAGGGACCTGTCTGTACTGTCTTCGTGACTTCACGTTGCAATCTATAACTATTTCAAAATAAAAGGTTAAAAATAACAACTATTGGATGATATACAATAAACTTCTAAAGGATTCCTTAGAGGGAAAAACTACCCCTCTATTAAATCTGTGTGACTAAGAAAGTAAATCAGCTTAGTCTGTGATTTTTTGGATTGGGGAGGGAGATTGGTTTTGAAAAACACTTTGCTGATGTTTACAGTTGAGAAATTACATCACAATATTATTGGTGTAATGTAAAAGTAGATTGTGTTACTTATGCGAAGGCATTAAAGAGTTAAAATTATTTAAAATGTACCTATATTTGACTGCATGTTATCTTTTCTCAGAGATTCAAATCTAAATACTGATGAGCTTAATTCCAAGAAATACATTCCTGCAAGCTTACTTCATATAGTAAGATTTCATTTTTTATATATAAAACATTTGCAATGCCAACAAAATAAAAGTAAAATGAACTAGAGCACCCTTAAAATGAATGAAACATAATTCTCCTCCAAAAGTTATACTTTTATTTATTTGATATTTCAATACCAGTAAAAAAATATACAAATGCACACATCCTTCAACCAGCCAATATTTTAATAATACACAATATTAACTGATATAAAAAGTGCTTTCACAATCTGTTACCACCTAAATAATTTTGACAGTAATAGATGCCCCACCATGATGCCTCACATCATATAATTTTCAAAAATGTGTTCTTTGACTTCTAACCTCTGCTCTTCTTTAGAATTACCTGTGAGGGGGAAAAAAAATGAAGATTCATATTATATCTATAGTAAATAAAACATAGTTCCTCAAAAAAAGTCAAATAGTCCTATGTGTACAATATGCAAAACTGAATTTATAAAAGCCTTTGCCTTGTAAATGGTCTTAGACTTCTACTTCTCTCAAAAAACATGAAATATGCCTAGCTTCTCAAAATTTGGTTTTATAGTCATTTGCAGATATTAATTTCTTCAACTGTAAGCCAAAAGTATCTAGATTAATGGTTCCTAACTTAAGGTTTATAGAAATTTAGTAATTCTGGGAGTTAAAAAATATTCCAAAACTTGAAAATCCTATTATAAATCAGACACTTAACAACTATAAAGCAATACAAATCCATTGTAATTCCAATTTTTTTTTTTTTAATTTTTATTTTTTTTAGGCGCGGCAACCCTTGGTTGACCTCACAGACTGTAAAGACCTTGTCAGCTTACAATCCCTTATTTTTTATTTTTCACGCCTACAGCATCTGGTCTTCCTAGGTGGTATCCCAAGTACTAACCAGGCCCGACACTGATTAAATTCCAAGATCAAACAGAATCGGCCTGTTCAGGGTGGCATGGCTGGAGACATAATATCAATTTCTTATATTTGGTCTGGAATTATATCAATTTAGAGACCAAAATTAGTCATCCTAAACTGAAAAGCTTGTTGGTAGACAATTTTCAAAACATATAACCCATGAGAGAAATAAAACAAAGAGACCTTTAGTTGTAAAAGACAGAGAGCATTAGACTAGAATATCTCCAAAAATTTTTTTCAAAGAAATGACCTACTTTTAGCTAAGTATACCTATCATTTATTAATAGAAACAAACCCTAAGTTTAAAATACACAATATACTCTTCAAGCTCTTAAACCTTGCTTTACCTGCAGAAAAATATTTATGACTTTATTAGTCTAGAAATTTGTTGGAATGTTTATAATTTTAAGAGAATTTAAAGCCCCTAAAAAAATGCCAGGACATGAACATTTCTAGGTTTCTGCAGAGGTCACCAAATAGGTCTACAACCCGGGTGAGTACTTCTCTATTCTATAAGATGTTAGTATGGGTACTGCAAAAGAAAAGTATTATGTACTCAAATGAATTTACAAAGTGCTCAGTATATTATGTACTCAAATTTACAAAATGTTAAGTTAAACAGAGTTCAACGAGTTTCTTTATCGCTAATTTCTCATAATCTTTTATAACTTTACATAACCATAGTTACATAAAGATGTTATATTGTGGAAAGCTGGACAAAAGGTACATGGGAACTCTACTATTTATGCATCTTCTGTGAGTCTATAATTACTTCAAAATAAAAACATTTTAAACAAAAGTATACAAAGATATAGACTGTCAAAAATAAGTTTCTCTCACACCATTTCCCTCTGCCTTGTCGTCAACCATGGTTGCCAATTTCTTGCACATTATTATAGAAACAAATTCTACATACGTAACATTGTGACTATTTAAGGAGGTATAGTATGTTAGTTTATCTAAATTTACCTTGTCCCCAGAAGCTTTTCATGGTGGGGCATCTATTAATATCAAGTGGAAATGATGATCTCAGGAACACTTTTAGAGAAAAAATTTGCCCTAGGCATTCTACTCTCACATTATATAGAAATGCTAGTAAGAAGCAATCTTCTTTGCTTTTATAAGTGATTTTATTCATAAGTCTCACAAATCTCAAAACAAAGTTAGAAAAACAATTATGTAAGTAGAAAAAATAATCAAGAAAAAAGTTTTGATAAATTTCAAAGTGATAAACCTTCTCAATTATATATAGCCTACCATAAACCATACAGATTACAAATATTCATTTTCTCCTAAATGGTGATAAAGCAGTGGCTAGGAATTTTTCCATCAGAAATCCATAATATACATATAAAGAAAATCAAACTCCATTATTAAAATCCATTAACATGAAAAGTCAAGTGTCAACTGAGTCAACAAAGCTGAATAATGAAACTATATCAAGCAGAGGTGATAAACCAAGTAGTATTTTTTAAGGTAATTCTTGCTCAAGAAAAGAGATTCAGACTTTACCTTTGCTGCAGCCAGTACATGATCCTTTTTAATGATTCCAGACTTATTCTCACAAGCATTTGTCCTGGACTCTTCTGCCAATCGATGAAGAAACAATAAACAGTTTAGATGCACCTTAAAAAGAGAAAATTTAAAAGGATTTTTAAACTCAAACATAAATGATTTCAAATAATGACTTTTAAAAATAAAAGATCCCAAAATTTATTGTTGTGCTATTTAGTTTTGTGATTCAGTCAATTAACTTGTATTTAAGGTAACAGAATTCCGTTACTATAGGTCCATCTTAGATCCCATACAAAGGAGACTAAGTTATTGTAATACATGAAACAAGGCTATGTAAGGCTGACCAAAGACCATAGACAATAACAGTATTGTAAAGCACCATTAGATCAAAACTTATGTAGGGTTCTATCAAGTAATAAATATTCTTGCTTCTGATTCCAAATAAGTTTAAATTTATAATGTATTTTTTTTAATTTCTCGGAACTTTTAAATCAAAACTTATCAACAACTATATTTAAGACTAATCATCTCTCATTCTACAGTCCAAAGTCTAAAGATTTTTTAACCAGGTATTGACATATCTATTCAAAAATATGTTAATAATTCTAAAAGTTTACTGAATTGAAAATTGTATACACAAATGTTACTTGTCATCTGACAATATCAAAATAATCATATCAATAATTTATAAGGCACCTTTTAAGAAATTTTTTAAAATAGATAATATAAGCAGACAGTACAAAATTTAAGTCCACAAAGGACTGCAGTTATGTGAGTTATTAGCACTGTGGAAATCTAGGAAAATGGTACGTATGTATTCTTTACTACTTCTGCCACTTCTTGTGAATCTGTAATTCTTTCAAAAATATAAAGCAGAAGAGTATACAAAAGGGTAAACTGTCAAAAATAAATCCACCTTCCACATCACCCCCAGTCAAACATGGTTGCCAGTTTCTTGCATATTCTTATAGAAACAAGCTCTACATATAAGCAAAATGTACATATGTACTTCATTATTTAACTTCATTTTCTGAATATGTAAAATAACATTTGTTAATATTTTAATCAAAATTCACTATCCAAACCAAAGTGCTTTTCCATCAATCTACACACACAAACCTTGAAAACAGTTCAACTAGAGCATAAAATCCAAGCAAGAGACAATGTGAAGTGAGCTGCAGTCCTATCTCAATTCTTTCTCTAGGATCATAGCTAGTGCTCTTTTATTTAAATTACTGGTAATGTTTTACCCATCTTTTGCTTCTGCTCAGTGCCTGAGGACACTACCAATTTAGGTCCAATTAGACAGTATCTTTAACATATAATTTCTTTGGTCATTTACATAATAATACACTTTTTGCATTATAATTAATACAGAAGAATTAATACATACTACCTTATATGCTCCCCCACAGTTTATTAAATGTTAAATAACTAGGCAATGTGTTTTAAATTATTTATGTTACGCAGAAATCTTTAGTGAATTGTTATAGATGTTTAAGAATGTTTTAGTGATGTTTGCGAAAAATATAGTTTGGGAATTTAAATTTAATAAGAACATATGGAAGGACATATTCTTTTGGTACTTCTTTTGATGTACTGTCTTCTTTAATTCTTACAAGAACTCAGATGTAAAGCACCCAATTTTGATTCTTTACATTATTATATCATATCATTCATTAAAAAAATAACTTCCAATGATATCCCATTTCTTTTGCAGCAAAAACAAGTGCATAATATGGCACAATTTCCTCTGTTAATCTATATTTTCTACTTCTAAAGATAAATAACTTCCAGATGCCCTCAGGATAAATTCCAAATTCCTTAATACTAAATTCCACTGGACTAGGCTTTTCCAGTTTCATCTCTTACCTTTCTCAACTTCCAGTTCCACACTAGGTCTTTGAACTTCTTTCAGTAATCAAATACGATCTTGCCTACAAGCATCCTATTAGCTTGTAGACTTTTTTGAGAAGCCCAACTTCCCCCAGTATGTAAGGTTATGTAGACCCAAGGCACCCTGAACTTCCTTTCAATGCACATGCTACATACATCATGCAGCAATCTTTCACCTGTCTTCCACAATGTATTATAAGGGTAAGAATTCTATCTTTCCCAACATTGTATCCTCAGTGACCTTTAGCCAATGACCCAATATGTAGTAGCCACTCAATAATTATTATTGCATAAACAAAAAGTCCCTCCATAGTTCCCCAAATTAGGTCAAAAAAAATTTTTTTTCAGTCAATTCCAATAAACTATACTGTTTTGAGATTTGGTTATATCATTAACCTACATGGAAGTCCTTTCCTCTTCATGGTCATGAGCCATATATACCAAGAAAAATTAATATTTCTTTATTTTTGATGTCACACAGGTTTTAAGGAACTTATCCGTCATAAAACTGTTGAGTGGTAGCACTCAAATGCACTAAGGTTTAAATTAAAATGGTCAGAACAAAAACAAATTTTTAGGTATTTAGCTATCATTCAAATTTGAAAAGTATAAGCCATTCCATTAAGAATTTACACTGAAAAAAATATCAGCTTTGAAAGGTAATTCAAAAGATAATTTACCAAAAAAAGATGGCCATTTTTTGACAATCTCAATTGACCAAAAAGATTGGGCCACCTGACTTCCTCCTACCTTCATCATAGCACTTTTGAGTTTTACATAAACCACAATGCACTCAGATATTTCACCAATTCCTCAGTGATAAATCTAAAAACTGAGCCACAAAAAAGCTGAACAATTTATTCAGATTAATAGATGTACTCACTGGTACTGGCCCTGGAGGTACACAATCAAATAAAACAACAAAAAGCTGGTTCAGAACTATGAAATAACACAAAGAAATTATAAGTAAAATGTCAGAAATAATAACCAATCTATATATAGTTGCCATGTAGTCCTGACATTAATTGTACATTCAGAATGTTCAAGGTATTATACTAAACATAAGGAATACAAATAGTCCCAAAGTTTCCAGTTCAATAGGAGACACAAACCTACAAAGAAATTAGACAGATGTGTGACAATAGAAAATAGAAGAAGGTAAAGTTGATCCTTTCTAAGATTAAGGAAAGCTTCACTGAAGAAATAGCATTTGAACTGGATTTTGAAAGAATTGGGAGTTTGCCGAGTGAAGTGAGGACATCTTCAGGCAGAAGAAATATTTATATCAAAGACAGCATAAAAGTTGATTAGTGTTATGTTAAAGATAATGGGAGACACAAAAGAGATATGCATAATTCCTTCCCCTCAAGAAGTGGCATATCACACTAGGAAACAACATTGACACATGAAACTCTTAGAGAACAGTGTCAAAGTCCCAATAGCTAAACTGTATATACACTTTTACTGCTATTAAAGTTCAGAAAAAAAGAAATAAGAACAGACTGCCTTAATGGTAGAAAAGTTTATAAAAGATGTGAGACACCTTCTGGGTAAGATTATGAAGTGTCAGTGGTAAGCAGAAAACCATAAGCAAAGAAATCAGGGTGGTAGGTAGCAGATACAGGAGGACACTGAAGAAAAATTAATGAAAGCCAAAGAAAAAGATAAGACCTAGGAATAGATGGCGGCCTGAAGAAATTCCTTTCCCTTACCACTACAACTGCTTGGAATGTCATCTCTTCTTTCAAGCACCACCTGGATCCCCCTCTACAATATAGCCCACATGTCCGTAGTTCACTTTGGGGCAGACAGGTGGTAGAAGTGGGAGGAATATAATCCCTTGAGTAATTTCTGCCAAACAATCTAGAGCCTCCTAGAAATTCTTGAGCAGGTCTTTCTTCCCCCTCCATTTTGAAGTCCAGCACAGTGAAAACTCCTAAAAATGTCTTGTAAATCAATTTCACTTTAATCCAACTCACTTGTGCCAACTTTATCACCACTGTGAGAGGTGTACAAAACAGTATATATTGTCTTTTCTTATGAGGCCTAAGAAAGGAAGAAAAAGGAGTGGAGCTAGAAAGGCTACTTTTCCAAGCAAAAAAAAAAAGTTTTGTTTTGGCTTCAGAGACCAAATAAAGGAAAAATGAAGACAATTTTATAGTAGTCTAGCAAAAAGAGAAACCCTGCAAGTAGGTGACAGATGGGAAGGCAGTAAAGTGGGAGGAAAGAAAACTAAACAGTGTAGCTTAAGAACAGATGGAATGAATGATGCATTCTGAAGACACTCTCCATGCCATATATGTTAGCCACAATTCTTTATCTTGATCTCCTGAAAATTAAGTGCCCACTTATAATGATCCCTTTATTCAAAGAGCTCTTGTGACAAACCAGAGGAGGTACCTCCCATGGTTTAAACCTAGGGAAACTGTTCATTCTGCTAGAGGGATATATGTTCCAGGCATTCAACATAAAAACTCTGAATTTATTTCAAGACAGAAATATTACACAGTGGTTTGGTTGTGGCTATTGACTAGGTAAGCATTATGCTGCACGTATTATGAGTCGGATAAACAAGTTTTAACGGTCTAGCTTGAAAACTGAACTAAAAGGTGTTCTAAAAAAACGAATTCAGAGCTGAGAGCATAATATAAATTTTTGAATCCGGGTTTTACAATTAGTAGAGTAAATAAGGCAATATATTTGGTTAACAACGTAAAAAAAAAAAAAAAAGGCATGTCAGTAATGCCTTTTACAATACTTAAATAAAAATAACCCGGCCTGAATTCCAAATCTACTTTTAAAAAACTATCCTTCAAACCTTTGAAAAGTACACTAAGCACTGCGCCAGACTGCTCCTGAACAGCTCTATTTAAAAGCTATAAACAAGAATTTAACGTTAGTTCTCTCCTTAAGATGATGTGGCTAATAGCCTCCCGTAAAAAAAGGTCTAGATATCTACATTTCAGTGGGCCCCGGTACAATTAAACATCATGAGTATGAACTGACATGACAGACTGGGGCAAACCTGTCTAGTCATTGCTGTAAACGCCTTAAACATAGGCCTGAAAGAACTAGATTTCCTGGGGGCCGCGAAATCAAGGCTGGGGTGTATTTCCCCTACCTCGCCCTGCCCCGCTTCAGGCCCAAGAAGAAACAGGATCTCACCAATAGGTCGCCACTTGTCTCTAGACGAAGGTGAGGCTTCTGTCGTTTGAAGACGCGCTTTAGAAAGCCGCGGGGAGCCTTGCGCCTTATTCGCTGCTTCTGAGAGACTGTAGTCGAGAACGCCATCTTCTCCTTCAGGCACCAGCGGCCTCAGCTTCCGAAGTCCTCCCTGCACCGCACAGAAGCTTACGTTAGCCGGGAGAGCAAAAACAACTCGGTCGCTAAATCACTTCTTTATACCCGAGATCATGGCCTGAACCTTTGAATCCGCCGCCAAAGGAGCGCGCCCGGCGCTCTGTAGTGACGTCAGCCCCGCGCAAGCCCCGCCCCCGAAGACACCCGTTGTTACTAGAAAACACCCGCGGTGGGCGCCCGGTGATGTCATTAAAGGGCCCCGGCCTCCTTTAACTTCAATCGCCCTTTTTAGTATGCCTGCCCTATAGAGCTATTTCTCCTATGTTCTATAAAGATGTGGGGAAATTGTGGAAAATGGTGGTATGCCAGGACAGCTACACTGACTCTCCAAGCTCTCTGTACTGAGCTCAACAGCAACAGACTAAAAAGTAGATGAATAGGAAGAACTTTGTGATGTTTTATCAGGATTCGTAAAGAACAAAAGCCTTCCTAGCAAGGCATGATTTTCTGATATTAACAGCTAACACTTTATGCTTTTGTAGAATTTCATTTGATCTTACCTGAGATCTTTTTATCCCAGCTTTTTACAAATGCTGCTCCCTTTAATTTTAAGGTCCCGCCACTTACCCTTGCAATAACTTGAGGTGGTCTAAATATTACCTCATTGAAAAACTTTGCTACTTCTCTAAGCAATTAACTTTCCTATCTCCTGTATTAACATATAGGTAGTTCTCAAAGTTCATCCTGCATCAAATGGAGCATCACTCCTGGGGCTTCCAAGTCATTAAGTCTATATGGGACTTGAGAATTTACATTTCTAATCAGTACTCAGACCATGTTGTCATTGCTAGTCTGAGGACCACTCTGAGATCACTCCGATTTTCATTGCATCTCTAATACTATCTATGTAGTAATTATTGTGATTTCAGTATCCACACAGAAGATCCTTCTATCCGGCCTTTCATTTCCAAGACCTCCCCTGTCAGTTATCTTACTTTTTTACCCTATGAGTCACTTATACCTGTGGTCATACACTAAGACTTGTCATTACCAAATAGCATACCCTTCCTATTCTCAATTCAATAGACTAGCTCTTCAGCTTCGTCTCTGATCTTTTAAACTCCCTTCAGTACCCCAATTCCAGCAATTTGTAGATGTCATTGGGATCACTGTCCTTCATTTCTACCACATCCCTAACCTTACTCTACTTATCCTCCCTCCTGTGGTCCATTATACATCATTCTAATATTCCCTTGCGTTTTCCTCAGCTCTCTAGCCATTCCTTCTTTTTCCCCTCATACTCACCTGACAAAACCTGCTCAAGTTAAAATCTCGATCCATTCTATGTTTGCATCTGTGAATTGATGTTGGCTTAAGAAAGACAAGTCTCAATTTAAATTCATGAGCACTCAAGTGGGCTGTGAGTTATCTTTTGCTATTTCCTAAGTTCTTTCATTCACCCATTCTCTTTCTCAAACCTTCCCTACACTCCCTACCCCATCCTCAACCTCAGTTGATGACATTGCTTCACTAACAAAATAGAAGCTCTCCCATAGAGACATCCCATCACCACATCTACCCATCAGTCTCCACCTGCTCCCATAGATGAACCATCTAAGACAACTATTCCATTTGTGCCCTAGATCCCAAGTCCCTCTCTTCCTTAAGAACATTCTCTCTCTGGCAATTCTCTCACTTCCTTTATGGATTTTCCTACTTAGCTATTTTTTTTTCCCATTTTCACACTCACGTGCTATCTCCAGCCTTTTCAAAATGCTCTCAATCCTCAGCTACTGCCCTTTCACAAGCAAACTAGAAAGTGTTGGCTAAATTCTATGTCTCCAATTCCTTTCCTCCTTGAAGCCACTGCAACCAGACTTTTATATCTATCTCTCCACCAAAATTGCTTTGGTCAGCATGATCAAGAATATAACACATTTACATCCAATGGTCAATTCTCAGCCTTTGGGTTATTTGACTAACCGGGAATATTTGTTGAGTTCTATGATTCTTTCCTCCAAGACACAATTTCTTTAATTGGATACTATTCCCTTTTTTGTTTTCCTCATACCTGATGGCCCTTCAGTCCCCTTTCTGTTTCCTCCTTGTGTCCTTTATCTCTAAATTCTAGAGTACCCCAGGACTCAGTCCCGAGGTTTCTTTTCTATCTATACTCACTCCCTATGTGATCTCATTCAAATTACCAAAATTACATCTCCAGCTGATTCCCTTCCCTAATCAGATATGTGTATCCAACTCCACTGGACTGAAATTTTAAGTCATCTTAAATTTAACACATCCGAAATTAATTCTTGATACACCTCTATACCACAATCTGGCTCCTCCCACCATCTTCCCTATTACAGCTGATAGCATTTTCATCTTTCCAATTACTCAAGCCAAATCTTGGAATGATGCTTAGCTCCTCTTTTTCTCTCATCTTACATTCAATCTTTTAGTAAATTCTGTCAGTTTTACTTGCAGTATCTGATCACTTTTGTCCAAGCCACCCTTATCTCTCACTTGAATAATTTCAATGCCCTACTGTGTTGTAGCCTGTTTCTATTTATCCCCAGTAGAAGAGCCAGATTTAAGTTTGATTATGTCATTCTTCTCCTCAAATCCTTTCCATTTCCCTCAAAATAAAAGTCCCTACTATGACTTATGAAGCCTTACCTGCCCTCCAAGTGCAAACACACTTACAACTGTACAATGAACTCTGATCTTCCACAACTCAGCAGCTCACTCTCTTCCAGCTGTATTAGCCTGCTTGATGTTTCTCAGACACACATGAAATCTATCGAACACACCAAACAGTCCTCCATCATGTGTTTTGCACTTACTATTCCCTCTGCCAAGAATACTTTTTCCCCATTTATCTGCATAGGTGTCATTATTACTCCTTCAGTTTTCTGACAAGTATGAGAGAGATGTATACACATATATACCTAGAAATACACATGCACACAAACACATATACAGGTCAAGTAGCAAGCAGAGGCTGAGATATCTTCTCAGCTCAGTATTCATTGACATTATGTTGGTAGCTAAAAACTGGTCATGGTAGAAATATTACTAACGTAACTTTGCATATATCCCTGATGACCTGGACATCCTAACTTTCTTTCTGGTTTATTTTTCTACATAGCACTTTTCATTAATATTTGCTTCTGTGTATAGAAAAATATTATTGTAGCTTTACTTATAATAAAAATAATTGGAGACAAATAACATTCATTAAGAAGTAAACACATATTGCTATATGTATTAACTTCCTATTGCTGAACTGTAACAAATTCCCACAAACTTAATGGCTTAAAACAATACAAATTTGTCATCTTACAGTTCTGGATGTCAGGAGTCCTAAAATCAAGGTGTCAGCAACACTGCCTACCTTCTGGAGGCTCTTAAGGGAGAATCTGTTTCTTTGTCGATTTCAGCTTCTAGAGTCCACTTCCATTCTTTAGCTCAAGGCCCTTTCTTCCATCTTGAAAGTGCATCACTTTACCTTCTGTTTCAATCAGCACTTCTCCTTTTTCTGATTCTGATCCTCCTGACTTCCCCTTCTAAGAACCCTTGTTATTACATTGGGCCTACCCAGATAATCCAGAAAAATTTCCCAAGATCTTTAACTTGAACACATCTGCAAAGTGTTTTTTGCCACATAAAATAACATTTTCATATTTTAGAGATGAGGACATAGACATCTTTTCGGAGTCATTATTCTACTACAGGTTCTCTTCCTGGACTTGATTCTAGAGTAGAGCTGTTCAGTTGAACTTTCTTCAATGACCATATCTGACTATAGGTTTGTCTATATCTGTTCTGCCCAAGACAGTAGCAACATGTGGCTATTAAGCATTTGAAATAGGGCTAGTATGACTAACAATATTAATTTCATTTAAATATAATTAATTTACATTTATATTTAATAGCCACAGATCTCTAGTGGCATCTATATTGGACAGTGAAGTTAGAGTAAACTGAAGGTAAATCGAACAAGTAATTCTCTCTGGCAATTTTGTAGATGTGTGGAAGCAAGGGGAGAGGATTCAAAGAGGACTTTCAATTAACCTGAATTTTTTCATATATTTTACAATGAAAATACTTACTGTTTTAAATTTTTTTAAATGTTTAAGATAATATTTAAGAAGACTATGAGGATAATAATTTTATTTATCCCCGTAATAAAGTATGTTCCTATACATTATCTTATTTGACCTTAACAAAACTCTGATATTGGTAGAGCTGGTATGAATGTAATTATTTCTATTTTACATGAAATTATATAGTCAGAGAGTTTAAGTGGCCTAAACTAAAAAAGTGTATGAAGAAGAGTTAAGACATTAACCCTGGTGTTTTAATTTTCCAATATGTTATACTGTCTTTCAGTATGTATGTATGTATGTATGTATATGCACCTACATTCTGCTTAATAGCTTTCCTTTAAAAACTTTATTTTTATAGACTTTTTTCTTCATTTATTAAAGAGTTACAGAGTAAATCACTAGAAAATTTCATCACGACCTAAATTTTCAAAACATTTTCCTTTTTAAATGTTTTTTCAGTAATTTTCTTTGATTCGAAGGGTTAAAAAATCACAAGACAGCTAGAAAGCTAGC